TACACCTGAATATATCTGTATATAATTGTATATATTTTCTTGTATCATTCATTAGTGTTTTAATTAAAGCTGTGTAGTTTAGTTTTCAATCCAGCCAAGTCTCTCTCTTTTTCTCTCTCTCCTTCCCTACCTGGGTTGGGGGGAGGGGGGATCGAGAGCATTGTTGTCGGACCTAAGTCAAACTGTGACAATTTTCAAAGAATGAAAGAGTAAGCAAGGCCTTTCTGCTAAAAACTGACCCTGAAAAAGCATAAGGCAGGCTATCCTCAGAGCACTGATTCCTGCAAGTGAGCTGCTAGCTTCTACTAAAAAACAGTTCTTCAAAAAAACACACTGTCCACCGAAAAGAAGAACAACATTTTTAAAGCTCTAAAGGAAAACTCTGAAGTTTCACTAAGGTACTAGGGTAAATAAAAAAGAGCTTGATTCCAGTAACTATAATCCTGACATGGCATCATATTGCTCAGGTCATTACTGTGTTACTACAGACTGTAGAAGTAGTCTCTAGTAACAATTGGGTATCAAAAGTCTTGAAATATAGCCTTTAAGCAAATTCACAGAGGCTTTTTTATGCAATGTGGGCCAGAACAAGAGCTTACTCGGCTACTGTGAATAGAAAAAAAGGAGTCTGGTTTTGGAAGAGCAAGGAAATTAAAATACTAAAAAAGGAAAGTGGGAGTAGATGATTGAGTTGCACAGAAACTTCCTGTAGCAAACAAATTTCATTATTTCAGGCTGAAGCAACATATAAGTATTTAAGATTATATTATATAATCAACAGATAATCATAGAATCATAGAATCTTAGGAGTTGAAAGGGACCTCGAAAGATGATCTAGTCCAACCTCCCCTGCCAGAGCAGGGTCACCTAGAACACATCACACAGGAACGCATCCAGGTAGATTTTGAATGTCTCCAGTGAAGGAGACTCCACAACCTCCCTGGGCAGCCTGTTCCAGGGCTCTGTCACTCTCACAGTAAAACATTTTTTTTCAGATATTCACCTTGAACCTCCTATGCTCCAATTTGCACCCATTACCCCTTGTCCTATCACTGGTCATCACTGAGAAAAGTCTAACTCCATCTCCCTGACACTCACCCCTTACATATTTGAAAACATTGATGAGGTCACCCCTCAGTCTCCTTTTCTCCAAGCTAAAGAGACCCAGCTCCCTTAGCCTCACCTCGTAAGGGAGATGTTCTACTCCCTTAATCATCTTTGTAGCTCTGCGCTGGACTCTTTCAAGCAGTTCCCTGTCCTTCTTGAACTGAGGGGCCCAGAACTGGACACAATACTCCAGATGTGGCCTCACCCATGCAGAATAAAGGGGGAGGAGAACCTCTCTTGACCTACTAACCACACCCTTTCTAATGCACCCCAGGATGCCACTGGCCTTCTTGGCCACCAAGGCACATTGCTGGCTCATGGTCATCCTCCTGTCTACCAGCCTTCTGGTGTGTCAGCCACTCCTCCCAGCTTAGTGTCATCAGCAAACTTGCTGAGGGTACATTCTATACCCTCATCCAGGTCGTTGATGAAGATGTTGAACAACACCCGTCCCAGTACCGACCCCTGAGGGACTCCACTAGTCACACACCTCCAACCAGACTCTGCCCCATTGACTACAACTCTGACTCCTTCCTTTCAACCAGTTCTTGATCCACCTCACTACCTGATCACCAAACCCATACCTGATCAACTTATCTACAAGGATGCTGTGGGAGACAGTATCAAATGCTTTACTGAAATCAAGATAAACCACATCTACTGCTCTACCATCATCTATCCACCTAGTAATTTCCTTATAGAAGGCTATGAGGTTAGTCAAACATGATTTACCCTTGATAAAACCATGCTGACTGCTCCTGATAACCCCCATGTCATTGATATGCCTAGAGATAGCGACAATAACAAGTTGTTCCATCACCTTTCCAGGGATGGAGGTGAGGCTGACCCGTCTATAGTTACCCGGGTCCTCCTTCTTGCCCTTCTTGTAGACCGGTGTGACATTTGCTAACCTCCAGTCCTCAGGCACCTCTCCTGTTACCCATCTTCCATCTTTCCTTACAGGTCCAGAAAATCATCTGCTGGGATTCAGAAAGAACATCTGGTCCAATCACCCTGTTCAAGGAGGACCACCTAAAGTCAGCTGTCCAGGACTATGTAATTTAAGTTCAGTTTAGTGATTGGTAGCATTTCTCTTCAAAATTATAAATGTCAGATGACTGAATGCACTATAAAAACTGGTGCACTTTTTTTTTAAAGAGAGTCTTAATTTTACATTCTTTTCTTCTCTATTATCATAACCAGTCAAGTGGGAGACCAGCCAGCAACTGTCACATACAGCTCTCTTACTGGTTTCTACCCAATTCCTGAGTGAAACTGCTGTTCTGTGCCTGGCACACCAGGCACTGAATCTCCATAAATTATTATTCTGATGTCAGAAATGCAGGATTGTAGCTTCATTCAGAGAGTCTGTTGGGCATGGGGAGTGAGCAGATGAAGAATGCTTCTATTTACACAAAAATATTTGTCATTAGCCAAGAGCAAAGAGAAAGAAAATACAGAGAGCATGAAAATTTAACATGGATTTATTCCTCTTCGGGGGTAAAAAGGTGAGGCTGAAGCACAGTGGTGGAATGAATGGATAACGGCAGTTATCATCATAACTCTTTTGGAAATTAACAGTATTTGCCCTCAGGAGCATCAAAACTAGCTATTTTACATGCACACCATGAACTTTATTAATACATGAGAAAGAAAAGGAAGGAAGCACAAGAATATTGTCATGTAAACCAATTTTGAATGGTGAGGAAAATACACAAGAAAGAAACCTGTAAAGAGCAATGACCTGTTCCTCTTTATTTACATACATATACAAAAGAAAGAAAGCAAATACACCTACAGTCAAGACAGATAAAGCTACGAACAGGAGTTTCTTACTTCAAGGCTTCTACTCTGCTGCTACACATGTGGTAAAACTAATTTCCACTCAACTGCTTATTCCACCACATGCGTATGAGGCTGGAAGTTGAGTCTTGCTGCATTCCTCATGCCCAACAAAGAAGGGAAAAATAAAAGTGCTTGGATGGCAACACACTACTGGGGATAGACTAGCCCTAAACTTTCTCTGAGTAACATTACACAAGTTACATCCCCCTTGCTCTCCTCCTATATTAGGACCACAACATCATTGAAGACTGAGAGGATCCCAGTATATCCAGTTGTTGCTTGCACAGAAGCTACTCAGTAACTGTTCATCCAGGCTACTGCAGTTGGCCCTGTGGAAGTCCAGGGTTCTGGTCCTGCTAGGTATTCTGTTCCTCCCACACAGGATCCTGAACTCCACCATCTCATGATCACTGCAGCCAAGGCTGCCACTGACCATCACCGCTTCAACCAGACCCTCCCTGTTGGTGAGCACAAGATCCAGATGTGTTTCTGAGCTGCTTGACAAACGGAAGTTAGGTAGACTAAAAATTAAAAATTGTTAAATATTAATGAAAACTTGTGTTTTGAACTGCAGAATAATAAAGTACTTTATCTACCCCACGAGGAAGGTGTATGTGAGTGGGGAAATGAATATATTCCTTTGCATGTGTGCGTCTGTGCCAATATCAAACTGAACATATTCCAAAGCTTATAATGTTTTTGTACCATGAGCTAACTATATTTTTTCACTGATGCATTCATTTCATAGGCAAAGCTTATCACTTCCACCGCACAGAATTACCCTTGTGAAAATATATCCCAATGAGATGAGGACAGAGCAGGGAGAATATGCATGTAAAAACCCTGAAACACTATAGCAACTCCATATTTGCTGGGATTACATTCAAAGAAGTCATATGAAGCCTTTGCTGGCATGCAGTTTCAGTTATGATCGTTTGTCGTTCAGCAAATCAGTAGTATTAAAATAATCTGACTGCAGTTTTGAAGTGACTTGCAAACATGTCTACTAGAATACACAGGTTATTAAATTAATCTTTCTACTTATATCACTTTAAAATATTATCTCTTGCAGAACAAGATGTAAGGGAGAGAAAATGATTGAGGAAAAAAATGCACTCGTGAATAAGAAGGCTATAACCAGACTATAAAAAAAATGCCAGTTTCAAACAAAGAATTCCCCTGGCTGTTAATATACTAAATATTAAATACCTAACTCACTTTAACAATTTTAATAAAACCAAACTATGGGGAATGCCAGATCACAAGTTTTGCTCAATAGCAGGTCACTTAATTTTTAGATTATAGGTAACTTTGATCATAGGACACACAAAAGGCATAAAATGCTTCCAAAGACAGTGCTTTAGGTAAGATACACAGATCAGGACTCAGTATGAACTTCAGTTATCTTAACACATGAACAAAACACAGTGTGGAACAAATTCACTTCTGACTTGAATACGGAAATAATGGATGTTTAAGAAGTGACATGCCAAATTCTAAATATGTGTCCAGAAATGGGAATCCCACACTCGTGCAAGGTCCTATGCCACAGAAAACTGATAAAAGAGAAAACAAAAGTCATGTAGCTATGCAAATGGTCACATGTGAAAGCAAAAACTCTATTTGCGATGGTAAATGCAAGCTGCTCATCTACCTACCTTTACTTTATGATAAGGGGTCAGGTACCAAGTACTGAGCATGTGCTTTCACAAAGTTTCAAATATTGAAGGAAAAAAAGTTTATATGCACTTTTCCATTTTATATCAGGAACATGGGACTAGAAAGGACCACCTGCATCTTCTCCTATCTCAGGCATCCAATCTCTTCAAACTTATTGGATTTCATCTTAGAAGAACTTCCTTCTTTGGAAAGTTCCTTTTTCAGTTCTGGTTCTCCTAAAAATTCAGTAACATTTTTCTTCCTATTTCCAGCCTCCATGTATTGAAAACAAATTACATTGTATCCTTCCTTCACATAATAGCATACAAGTGGGATCTTGATAAAAACCAAACTAACCTGTCACAGCTTCCCATATTTTTAGCAAATAGTTTAGTGAACCCTAAAATCTTTGTTCCTTAATGCTGGAGTTAAAAGTTCAACCCAATAACTGCAACAGATGCCTACTCACATCCTTAAGCAGACAACTGACATGCCTGGTGCTGTCAGGGAACTCTACAGATGCCTGACACAATACTGGAACTTTAAATATGCATGAGACTACATTCCCTACCCAAGGCAAATGACTTTTACATACAACAGAAGTTACCTACACAAGTAAAGAGGAAAAAAATTGACAGTTAATACAGGTATTCCAAGATCATATTGTTGTTACAGTTGTTTTGTCCACATTTCTTTTACTTTTTTTTAATATTTTGTATTTCCCAATGCCTTTAAAAACAGACAACCAAGCAACTCATTGTATGCAGGAAAAAAAATGGGTTAAAACTGGCTAACTTCCAAAAGGTTAAAGGGCTGTGACCTTGGTTAATAATATTCTTATTTTCTATGATGGCTCTGACTCTCGACTACAATTTCCACATCTACATAAATACATTCATACACCTAAATGCATACCTATATATATTTTTATACACACAGCTTTCCATAAACCTAATGTTGCCATTTTTACAACATTTTACTAAGTAAATCAAAGCACGGTTACATCATTTGACATATCCAAATGTAACAGATGTTATCAGCAACAATTGCATGCAGCCATGAAAAGATTTAACTTGCCTACACAAAATGGGTATGCTTTTTCTTGGTGATGATGAATGGTTACATCTTCAACTTCCTTGATGTTATGACCAGAATCCCTCTACCCTTTCACAAAGGCAACCTTACAACCTTTTTCTCCCAGCTCCCAAAAGACAAGCTCATCAAGTTGTTAAATTAATACTTTACTCACCAATGCTACTCAGAGAACTGCTGCTTTCAGAATCAGAAGGCATTATGGACAGCACACTGTAAGTAGACCCTAAAATTAGAAAAACAGAAACAGTATTACTTTCTTTTCTTCTCCCCAAACCAAGCTAACCATTCGTTTTCTTGATACTGTAGATGCCAAACACACCGAATTAGAGAGAACGCACAACACTAATGCATAAAAATCTAACAGAAGTACAATCTGTAAATGAACATTGTACTACTGCCTGATGAGTAAGAAATCTTTTTGGATTAAGTGGTAAAAAAGTTCAGCAAAATATTGATTTAAAACGGTGGTTATTTCAGACACGTTTCATCTCTACATTATGCAGATTATAACTGACACCTGTGACAACAGTAAGAATCTATTTTAATTTTTTATTTTTACATGTACCAGCTCCTATTTAATTATGAAACTGATTTGTATTCTTATCAAACTTCCTTCAGACTCAGAAATTTCATTTCATTGGTAAATAAGTTTTGCTTGCATCCATTTGCAGCTTAAAAGAAAGGTCCTACAAAGCTATCTGCTGTTACTGACAATACTCAGTTTTTCCACATATTCATAGATCAATAGAGAGAGGTACCTTTCACTTCAGTTCTTTTAGAACTATGCTAGATTTTACTTACCAGGAGAACTAGAAAAATAGGTCCTATTTCAAAAACCTTACAAACTAAACAGCTCCACCATTTCTCACAAACAACATAAACACACTTCAGTAAAGACAGGGAGGGATTATGTGCAAAAGCAATTTGAAATCTGGTCTGTTTTCAGTTCTAGCCAGGATGTGAGACGTGTCTTAACTCTTCACAAGCTCAAACAGCGTCAACACTTTGAGAAGCTGCTTTTCCTACGGTTCTCCTTGTGTTTCAATATATATTTCTTCCTGTTTCTTTGAAATTAAGAAATAAAAGCTGAGAAACAGCATTAAACGCATGAATCGACTTTTGAAACAGATTAAAGAAAGGACAGACTGGGAAGTCAGAAATAAATCCTTGGTTTTGCTAATCTTCTCTCCTTCTTACTGGAAAATAAATTACATCTGTAACAGTGGCCTCAGAAAAAAATCTGCTGCACATTTTTGCTTCCATCTCAAATATTTTCACATAATTTAAGCTGTGTTCCTATTTCATTAAGGCTTATTAAAAACAAAATAATTTCTGCATTAATTAAAATGAACCTCTGTGCATATTTCTGAACTCGAGTGACTTGCAGTATTTCCTGTAGTCTGGACTAAAAGGATTGGAATGATAAGGCATGCTAAAAAAAGCTGATCAATACATTAAACGAATAAGGACATTTTGATGACAGACAACGCATATGGAGATTGTATCAAAACTGCACAAGGAGCAATACTTCATTTTATTTGGCAATTGAAGGCAAAATTAGTTCCTCTAAAAGATTACGTAGGAGTCCCATACCTAAACAAATTTTTACTGATAGCTACTTCAGCTTCTTTTTAAGAGTGAAAAAAGAATCAATATCTCATCATCTTAGCTGAGCTATCTTTTATTTATTGTCAAAAAGCACTGATCCTCCCTATCTTGTTTTCCTGCATTAAAAACTAGAGCCAGGAGTTAAAATGAGTTAAATCCTGCTCTCTGGGATAGAGAAGTTTTGTGAAACTGACTTCATCAGTGGATAAACATGACTCTCCCTAGCCATGTTGTTAAAACATAACATCAGATTTGTAAATGCAAGATTCCGTATGCATGGCATGTTATCACAAGAAAAAATACAATTGTGAAGAGGGAAGGAATCATCTGACCATTTGCAACACCTCACTTTAATAAAATGAACACAAAAAAAGTCTAGTAGCATTTCTTTGGCTTCCAAGGCTGTTTGTGTTTGTCCACTTTATAAGATGCATCCTCACATAAATGAAGCCACTTAAAATTACCTCAAAAGAAATTTAGGCACAGGCAATAGGGCACAAGCTAGTTTCTATAACACAAAGTACTAGAACACCCTCTTTATTCATGAACTACACAATCATGGTATTTTAAAAAATCTGTTGAAAAACCATTCCCCCCTCTACCCTCCCCCTTGCTAAGCATTAAAATTTAATCTTAAAACTTTCTGGTTGTCCACCTTTTCAAATTGCACAAGAAATACAATCAGAACACAAAACCCAACAAGTAATCACAACTGCTTTCTCAGGTTCATGTTGAAAGTGCTTCATATCCAGGGGTTCACAAGCCTTTCACCACACTTTTCCAAATATTTTTCCACTAGTATTCACCTCACATGCCAAAGTCCCCCAGTACAAAAGCTTGCTACATTTATTTTCAATTCACTGACTCATAACAACTGCTGACACATTCAAGTTCAAAATTACAACTTGAAATGACTGAAATGTTCTGATAAATACAATAGCTACTACTCATACTTAATTTAAAAAAAAAATAAAAAATTGCCAATCTTCTACAGATACACATACATACAGAGGAAAGAGTATAAAGCATCCTATCTTTGCATTGCAAACTTCTTTTCGGGGCATTTCTTTTTTGCTCATTCAGATTTAAGGGTATATTAAACAGCTTTGGCAGAGGGATTTAGAAACCGTTGCAGCATATACTTAAGAATCTTACAAATCCCATTTCCTTCTATTTTCAACAATTAGAGCAAGTCAAATTTTCTTAAGTTATTACTGTCTTTATTAGTCAGATGACAGGTAGGTCACTTAAAAATTCACACATTCAGGAAAGGAAATCATTGCTTAACTGCAAAGCCACCTCCAGGGACAAAAGAAGAACAAAATTCTCATTTGCCTCTATCTTTCACACAATGTCTACACAGAAACAGGAGTATACCTTTTCCTTGCTAAGACAGATGAAGACGGAGATAGGGAGAGAAAAAAAAAGTTACATGTCCTAGGAGACACAAACTGTCTCACTAAGCAATTTTCTCATTAGCAATGTCAAATCTAGACTGAGAGAATTAAATTATTAGCACAAAATTAAAACAGAACATTTGTGTCTTCTTTCTAGCCTTTTAATTGTGAAACACAACTGGGCATAAACTGCACTTCAAGAAGAGTCTAAAAGAAACAAACCAGCTTATCTCAAAGACAACAAAACAAGCTTGCACTTGGCACCTTCTGCAAAAAAGCAGCACAAAGGATTAAGTAGAATTTATTCTATGACTATATGCTAAATTATTGAATGACTTCTGAGAAAAACATACTGTGTTAAAATTTCATTATGTGGAGATAAGCTGAATGAATAGGTCAGGCTGATTCTGATTTAATATGACAATTTCTGTGTAGGTTTAGATTCAGAAAATTTAAGTAACCTGCTGGAAGCCAGACACATCAGTAAAGAAGCGCTGAGTTCATACACTAATGTTCCTAGTTGTCAGTCATACACTTAAATAGAAAACTATCTTCAGCTGTTAAAAACAAGTATCTGTAAAATTCCTATTTTCTTAGTAACATCTGTTCAAAACACCTTCTAGGATAAACCCAGAGACAGATACTTCTAAATATGCATTCCTAAGTGTATTCTCTTTAGTAACAACTACTTTCATTGCTACAGGTATCTTCTTTCTTTAGCCAGGAAGCAATACATGATCACTTGATCATTAGGATACCCTTATGGCTGTTTGCTTACTTTATAGCATTATTTGTTCTTGTTAACTGCACTGGATCAAATCATCCTCTTTCCCCAAAGAAGCACAGGACAGATTAAAAATCTTTACAGATCACAAAACACACATGATGACAGTGCTTCAGTTAACAGCATTCAAGCTATTTTGCCATTGACACGATGCTCTAATAATGCATTATGAGTCAAGTTACCATGACGTTTTATTAGCAGGATAGCAATTATAACCAACCAGTTACCGGAAACTAGATGTACGAAAACTTATGACTGCTTAAAAAATAAACAAAATCATACCCAGTTTATTAAGTCAGCTAGAAATTTTGTCCCTTACTACATTCCAATCTTTCATTTCTTTCTTCACAATTTATAAAATTAATACTTGAATCTCTTGCACCACAACAGAAGTGATTAAGTATACCTTCTGGAGCAGTAGGATCAAAGATGCAATCATAATTGCTATTGCTATTACTTATTCAAAAAGTCCTGCAGCAATTCAGGTTCTGAACCAGAACAACTGTTTTAACCTTTGTCTTCTTGCTTTTTGACCAGGATGGCTTTTAACTCTGCATTATTGAGTGCATTTTGTCTTCACAAGTCATTTTTCTCCAACACTCCACTTCAGCTGCAGAAAACTGCAACAGCAAATGACCATGCCCTCTTCTTACAGCCATGAATTTCCATTAGGATGTGCAGAAAGCTGAGTGATGATTTTTCAACAGTTACTTTAAGGCTAACAGCAACACACCTAGCTACTATGAAAATACCAGCATGCAAATTTATATTACTCAGATTGTAGCAAAATAACTTCTGGTTTGTAGAGCTGCACATACTGCCCTCACTGCTAACTCTCTCTCACAAGAGGAATGCCTATTTTTGTAGGCTGACACCCAAAAGCCAGATAAAAGAATAACTGGATCCAGATTCTTTAACCTCAGCACTTAGTACAGGTAGTAAAAAGCTGCATTTAAAGTCAAGTCTTCATATAACTGCAATGCAGGCAGATGAAACAGTCACGTATTTCAACTCATGTGGATTATACAGATGGTCCTTGCATTATTATCAGTGTAGCAGTGTGGCCGTCTGCTCTACAAACACAGAGTGGTATTACAGCTGACTACCTTAACAAACACACATAAAAATATTTTTTATTAATTATTTTTAATATAGCTGCTTTAACAATGGCAGTTAATCTATTCTGGGAAAACCGATCTCCATTTCAGTGGTAAAAAGCCTATTGTACCACAGAATTGTAGAAGCATTAAGGTTGGAAATGACCTTCCATTAACTTTTTTCTGCTTCTAGCCATCAAGAGACTTATATTTGTTTGCTGGATTACGTGTGATAAGCCAAAGGCAAATAAACAAAACAAACAAAAAAGAAAAGCTAACAGTATTTTATTTTTTTAACAAGGTTTTTGCAATCTCAAACTGTTTGTCTTAAGGTTAT